GCGCTGCGGAGCCTGCGGGACCGTTGGGCAACACTCCTGGCCCGTGCCCGCTACATGCCAGGGGCCCCTTCTCCCCAGGTTGTGACAATCAAAACCATCTCCAGACGCTGCCGCAAGGCCCCATTTGAGAACCGCTGTAAAAGAGAAAGACAATCAGGGGTTGTCACATGAACGGCCCCTGCTGAGTGGCTGGTCCCATGAAGGGCGGGGTCTGGGGCCAGTAGGAAAGATCCGCCTTTGCCCCTCAGAGCGACCGCTCCTCCTTCTCGCTGTCGTTGTCCTCCCTCCAGCCACAGGGCTCCCCGCTGCTTCCCAAACACTCCAGTCCCTCCCTGGCCAAGGGCCTTTGCACTGTAGGGTGGTTCCCTCCGCCCGGAACTCTCTTCCCCAAGATGTCCTCTCTGATGGTGTTTTTTAAACACTTTTTAAAAATGTTTGTTTATTTTTGAGAGAGAGAGAGCACGCGCGTGTGAGAGCACAAGTTGGAGAGAGGGACAGAATACCAAGCAGGCTCCGCACCACCAGTACAGGGCCCGATGCAGGGCTCGAACTCACAAACTTGAAATCATGCCCTGAGCCTAGATCAAAAGCCAGACACTTAACCAACTGAGCCACCCAGGCGCCTCTCCTTCTCCTCTTTAAAATCTGCTCATTCATCCACTCAGGGAGGTCCTCCCTGACCTTTATTTTGAAACTGCAAGCCGCCCATCTATACCCCACCTTACCATGATCTACCATCCTATTTTTCCAGAGAAATAATCACCTTATAACACACAAAATGTTTATATTCTAGGTTTACTGTTTATCAGTTGGTCCACTCCTCCTCCCACACCTCTAAATAATTGACTCACTGATATGCCGGGGACACAGCAGGTATTCAATTAACATTGATGAATGAATGAATGAATGAACGAATGAAGAAATGAACGAATGGTAAAGATCTGCCAAAACCCGCTTGCTGTGCCTCCTGACAGGTCAGTAGCTCATAAAATGACTCCTGCTGTCACAAAGAATTTTCTAGAACTTACATTTCTAGCCACTGCTAAAAAGGCCTTTTGTCTGAGGGACTGTTCACAGGAACCCAACAGCTGAGATCTACACGGTCATAGCATGAGTAGTCAATGATTCTCGGACCCAGCAAGTCCAGGTCACCCACGAACATCAGGAATCTCAAGCTTTCAAGTTAGAAATATTATGTAGCAGGGGCGCCTGGGTGGCTCAGTCTGTTAAGTGTCTGACTCTTGGTTTCGGCTCAGGTCATGATTTCACGGTTTGTGAGTTCGAGTCCTGTATCCGGCTCCATGCTGACAGTGTGGAACCTGCTTGGGATTCTCTCTCTCCCTCTCTCTTTCTGCCCCTCCCCAGCTCATTCTCTCGGTCTCTCTCTCAAAAATAAATAAATAAACTTTTAAAAAATTTTAAAAAAGGAATATGAAGTAGCAGATAAATAATTCCTTATTCAAAACTTTTCACTGTTTTCCTACATTAAAAAAAAAGTTACCTACTCCATTGATGAAAGCTTATATACTGCAGAAAAGCAAAGCCTTTTAAGAAAATGGCTTCTAATAATAATTTCAAGCCTTCTTGGCTCAATTTACAATATAAAAACCAAGACTGACCGTGACTGACTTCATCTGCTATCGCCGCTGCAATGCGAAGTTTTGGCAGTGGCTGCTCTCCGGGTTTCTGCCATGCATCAAGTTCACCTGCAAGTTTACATGGGACATCCCTGACCCTCTACCAAAAACGACCAGTAATTTAAAGCTAACAAACACCAGTAGGGGAAGAGCCTGGAGGGACTGCTGGTTTGATGGGGCGGGGGGGCGGCCTCTCGCAACACAGCTCACACCCAGCCCCCTGACCCACGCAGCGCCCCCGGGGGCCGCCACGCCTCCCCTGAACTGTGTGGCCAACATCCCACAGTTCTGCTGTATCCCCGCGGCCATGGCTGCCACCCACCCTCCGGCAGGACAGTCCGAGTTATAAAACCCAGCTAACTAGTTAGCTAAGAGATACTGGGGCTTACCTCCACCTCCCAACCCAAGCCTGAGCGGTTCTGAAGCAGTGGCCCTGAGCCCACACAGCCCAAAATGAGATGGGCTTCTCTTCGACGAGGCCCTGATCAATTTGCAAAGAATAATGTAATCTATAATCCTTTAACCTGATGCCAGGTAACAAAAAACAAAACAAAACAAAAAATCTCTTCCTTGATTTAAAGTTCCACCAGAAAAACATATTTCTGGAAACCACAACTCTAACTCAGGGGTCATCTACCAAAAATAACGAACAGAGCCAGGCTATTCACCATTTAAAACAGTCTGGGGCACGGAATAAACGAGGTGAGCATGCTCTAGTGGAAACACAATGGGTCCTTGAACACTTGCTGTGTGTCGATGCTTTTCACAAGATGCCACCTGTCTTTAGCAGGCTAAGCACAAATTAATGCTTTAAGTATAACATTAGGTGAATGTGCTCTTACGGGTGCAGGGTACAGAACGTATCATCGAATGAAAAGAAAGAAAAGAGATGTCACTGGCCATTTTGCACTAAGAAAAAGATCAAATGATCTAGTACCAAAACAGAAAGCATGTTAATAGCAAACCCACCTCAAACATATCTTCCTCCCACTGCGGTTAACTTCGGATGACAACAGTAAACCATAATTCAATATTCAACAGAGTACTGGTGATTCAGAGATGAGAAAGACAGGGTCCCGGTCTCGAAGAGCTCCCAAGGGAACAAAGAGCGTCACACACATAACCCACGATACTCGGGTGGCAGGAGCCAGAGGATACAGATAGAGAAAAACCGAGAAAGGAGCCAGCTCTGCCTGGAAGAGGGAGGGGGGATGGGAGATGCTTCCCTCCAACAGGTTTGCTATTTGAGCTGGGCCCTGAAGAGCAAGTAGGAATTCACAAGGGGAGAGAGAGAGGACCTGGGAAAGGAAAAAGAACATTCCAGATGAAGGGAAGAGCATAGCATAGGAAAGTACACTGAGTGTCTGCTGCCTTTGATCAGTTTGAGGAAGCCAGAGACCACAGGAAGCCACCAGGCCCTGACTGAACAGAAGCACTAGAATTGGTTTTAAGTGGAAAGATGAGAAAAAATAAACACTATAAAACATACCCAATGAGATACCTTTATTGGCCCTGACGTGAACAGAGGGAGAGATGGAGGCAGAATGTTATAGCATGTCCACCCCGCCAAACATTTTCATTAAGAATCCGTTTTCCAGGCATTCCCAATATTTACGATTCCCCATTCAACATGTCATCCTGTCACTACAAGCCTATGTAAGATACGCCACCCTGGGCCAGCCTAATTATCCATACAGTCCAATATCCTGTCTCTGACGCAGCACTAGGGACATCGGTGGGGAGAACATGATAGATGTGGCCCACTCTGTCTACGTCCATCTCAAAATGTTAGCATATTGGTTGATAGTGACCAAGAAAGACTTTAGCCTTATTTGCAAAATTTGTACTAAAAAAAAAAAAAGGAGAATGCAATAATGTGGAACTTACATAATTGATAATTTTATAGACTGTCTCATTAGCCACTCTTCGATGAACAAATACTAAGTCTTTGTAAGGCCTTAAACGATTTTGGGGGGAACTGCAGTAAATCATCCATTAATGTGTTATTTAAAGTGGTTTCATTCATCAACGCAGATTCCTCTACTGGAACTATTTCTAATAGCTAGATTGGATGAACCCGGCCCATCTAAAAAAGAACACTCTTGACTCTTCACTGGCTTTTGGAGGAAAACTGACCCCTGCACACTGCAGGTCCTTGTTGACTTAACTAAATTTCAACAGCAAGTTGCTTGAGCAAACTTTCTCTATATAAATGCCACCCTCTAACAAGACCCACGCTGATTTATTAGTTCTTGTATGAGCAGATCCGACCAATGCATAATGCTTTATATTGCAAATCTTTGAGGGCCTCTGATGGTTATTACTAGCACTACGCCATGGGCTGGCTGAAAAGACCAACTTAATTCATGAGCAGCCATCCTTTCCACACCATGCATACATGGAAATTCCCCTTTGATTTGTGGCTTTAATCACGGCTTCCAAAACCTGTCATTATTTATGACTCTGACTTTTACATTGACGGTCAATGGGAAACATTTACTCGGGTTACCTGATAGGAAAGAACTCTGCGGCTCAAAGCAGTGCGTGTGCTCCATTGTGACGCTACACATCTCCATTTTCCTGCTGGGGATGGAGGTGGAGGAGGTGGGAGAGGCCAGACGTTACATAGTATTACTGAACGGAAAGATATTACTCAAATATGCAGTGACTTCTCCAGTCAGATTCGAAAAGGAAAACAGGTTGTAAAACAAAACCAACAACCTCTGGGTTTGTGTTTGTGCACGTGGGTCTCGACGTTCCCACTGTTCAAAATATCTGCAATTGTCAAGCAATGCTGACCAACGTAAAGTCACTTCTCTACTGACCACCTTGGCCAAACTGCTAGGAAGGTCGCCCTCCTTCTTCTGGAAAGAAGCACACTCTTCTATGGATGCACCGAACTCTATCTTCGTCTCATACAGTCCAACCCCCACAGTCTTCCACTCGTTCTGCTCTGCCGTCTTTCCCTTTATGGGGGCGCCTGGCTGGCTCAGTCAGCGAAGTATGCGACTCCCGATCTGGGGGTGGTGAATTCCAGCACCAGGTTGGGTGTAGAGTTGACTTAAAGCAAATAAATGAAAAGCTATTTTTAAAAATGTCAGTATGTCATCTTCCCCTTTTCACTGACTCCTTCCCCTCCGTCCACGGTTATACTCTCCCTTGCACCTTGATTTTAAAAATCAGTACCTTGGGGCGCCCGGGTGGCTTAGTCAGTTGAGCGTCTGACTTTCGCTCAGGTCATGATCTCGCGGTTCGTGGGTTCGAGTCCCGCGTCAGGCTCTGTGCTGACTGCCAGCTCGGAGCCTGGACCCTGTTTCAGAGTCTGTGACTCTCTCTCTGACCCTCCCCTGATCACGATGTCTCTCTCTCTCTCTCTCTCTCCTAGAAATAAATAAAACATTAAAAAAAATTAAAAAATCAGTACCTTTTAGAAAATCAAAGCATAACACTACACGGAAAAGCATACAAATAGCAAGTGTTCCACTTGACGAATTTCCACAAACTGAACACACTGGTGTAACCAGCATTTGGCTCAACAATTTTACCAGCATCTCCAGAAGCCCTTCGCGCTCCCTTCCACTTCCTATCCCACCCCAATGGCGACCACTCTCCTGCCTTCGAACAGCCTGGATGTCGTTGGCTTTGCCTCTTCTCGTAGTTCGTATAAATACAATCATGCAGTGTGTGCCCTTTCATGTCTGGCTTCCATCACTCACCATTCTGTTTGTGAAGTTCACCCACATTATTGGGTAGACCTGTAGATCATTCACTGTTACAACTACGAAGCTTCCCATTGTATAAACGGAACCACGATTCATACATGGTGGATTGTATTTATGATGGATGTGTGGGTGGGTTCCTGTTTCTGAGTATTAAGAATAGTGCTACAATCTGATGAGTGAAACAGATAAAGGAGATTAAGAGCACACTTATCATGGGGAACCTGGGGGGCTCAGTCATTTTAGCGTCTGACTTCGGCTCAGGTCATAATCTCATGGCTCATGAGTTCAAGCCCCGTGTCGGGCTCTGTGCTGACAGCTCAGAGCCTGGACCTGTTTCAGATTCTGGGTCTCCCTCTCTCTGCCCCTCCCCCACTCATGCTCTGTCTCTCTCTGTCCCTCTCTCTCTCTCTCAAAAATAATCATAAAAAAATTTAGTAAGAGCACTTATTGTGATGAGAGGTGATGTATAGAATTGTTGATCGTTACACTGTACAACTAATATAACACTATATGTTAATTATACTTCAATTAAAAATTTTAAAATAATAAATTGTAAGTATATTTCATATATGTTATATAGATATATAACGTGAAAGAAAAAAGATTACTTATAGAATTACTAACAGAATTTATCCAGAGCAAAAGAATACAATGTCAGGTAACATTACATAGGTCAGTAAATAATTATTACTTGACTTTTTTCCCCTAACCTATGCAATACATCCAAAGTGTTAATCTGTGGATAAAGTTAACTCGGCTCTGAAACCACAAAGGGTGCTGAAGACTTAAGAATAGAAAAAACGAATAGTGCTACTATGACCATGTCTTTTTGAGAATAATATGTTCACATCTTGTTGGAGTAGAATTGTTGGGCCATTCAAATCTTTTTTTTTTTTTAAGGGTTTTCATAGTAGATCTAAATAATGCAAATGTGTTCTGGGCTCTTCTATCCAAGAAAAGCAATTGACCTCAATCCTGCCAGCTGCTTCTCCCTGAAAGGGTATGTTTTCCCTGCTAGGCTGTGAGGACACAAGAACGGTGACCATTCCCACAAGTGCCCAGTTGCTAGTCAGTGCCTGGAACGTGTGGGCTGCTCCATAAACGACCATGGAGCTAGTGAACTAAAGGTGACATTGCCTTAACTCCTAATGCCTTCCCCACTGGTTCTGGTCTGGCTCTGCTCCTTGCCTGCACTGGAAAAGCCCCCATGAGGTCACAGAGGCCTCCGCACCACCAAAGCCCGAGGCTGGTGACCTTCTGTGGCAGGTAGCATGGATGATCAACCCATACAAAGCAACCCAAAGAAACATAACCGGTGGCTTCAAGGGTCCCCTGGTTTCTTACCTCTGGGATGTTTATTCTGCAGGGCTCGCTACTAGAACCTTCTGCTGCCCAGGGCCCCACTCCCCAGCTCCAGCTTCCATCTACCACTAATGACTCTCTTCAGCTCTAACTCTGCTCCAGAACCCTACAAGGGCGCTTTTCGGTGGCCTCCTAGACTGTGCCCCAGGATGTCCCTTACACACCTCAAAAGCGTCTCGGACAGAAAGCACAAACTCCACCCTCGTGTACTGCCTGGTTTATTTAGTCAACGTGAACGGCTGCAGGTGTGTTCTGTCGCCCTTCAGCATGCCAGACCCTGGGGATCCACCATGGGGAAGGGCAGGCCTGATGGACAGGAACAGACATCTGGCCACGCTGGGCTTAGATGCCGCGACGGGGTCGGGGAGGGCAAGGAGAGGCGCCCAGCCCAGCCTGGGTGGAGGGAGGCAGAGGTGCTGCCACAGGGTCTGTCTCTGAGTTGACTCTCCCCTGTCAGAACTGCCTATTGACCCTGCTCGCTGCTCTCACACCCACCTCCTCCATCAAGACCCCAATGCCCTTGCCCGGATCCCTGGACCACAGGGCTTTTTCCAGCCCTGGCTTGTTTCTCCACAGTCTGTCCCTTACCGTGTAACTTGGCTCTGGGCCCTGCTCTGACCAGAACTCTCCAGTGGCACCCCACGGCCCTCTGAGCAAAAGGCAAACCCCTTATCCTGTGAGGGACCAGAGGTCACGCGTGGCAGCGCCCTCCCCCCGCGCCCATCCCTGTGTCCAGGGCTCACTGTGCTCCCAGGACACAAGTCCTGGCCCACAACCAGCCTGCCCAGCCGCAGAGCCGGTACCCCTGCTGCCTGCCATGCCCGGATGCCTTCTCCGGTGCCACGTGCCAACACCTCCGTCTTGTTATTCAAATCCTGGAGCGCCTGTCAGGGCTCCAGACAAGCCTCCTCTGGCCACTCAAGGCACAGCGGCAACCCCGTCGCTCCAAGAGCCCTGGCGGACACTTCTGATCACACTCGGCTGTCACACGTCCTGCACCGCCCCCCTCCCCACTCCTGAACTTGGCTCACTCATTCATGTTGGCTTTTTCAAGGCTATCTCTGCCGACGGACTGAAAGCTCCAGGAGAGCAGAAATCAGGTCTGAAGTATTCTCCTCTGTGGCCATAAGGCCTGGTGCGTGCCTGGGACTTACTAGGTCCTTAATAAACAGTAGTCATGGACTAAAGCCAAAGCATGGTGGCTTTGTACAAATTCTGTAGCCAGACTCCCTGGTTTGAATTCCACCTCTGCCACTAGCTGTGTTGACCGGGGCAAGTTATGGAGTCTTTTTGTGCCCCTTGGGAGCTTTGCTTGGTGACAAAATAAAGTTAAAAATATCCTGCCTCAGGGAGCCTGGGGGGGAGCTCAGTCAGTTGAGTGCCTGACTTCGGCTCCGGTCCTGAGCTCCGGGTTTGTGGGTCTGAGCCCCGCATCGGGCTCTGCGCTGACAGCTCCGAGCCTGGAGCTGCTTTAGATTCTGTGTCTCCCTCTCTGCCCCTCCCCTGCTCACACTCTCTCAAAAATAAGTAAAATTAGAAAAACACTTTCTAAAAAAACAAAACAAAAAAAACACACAAAAAAACCCTTCTCTTTTTAACCAGAGACAATTTCAGGGACTCTCTGATGTTCATCTTTTTGTCTCACAGGAAATGGAAAATACAGAGGAACAAAAGTAAAATGCGTTATAATGATCGGAGGGGAAGCAAAGGGATACTGAGTCCGCCCCGTGACCCTCTGTTCCCTGCCATCTCATCCTGCTGGGAGGAAAGAGGTACATGTTTTTATCCCCAGGACACCAACAGGAAAAATGAGATGCGAACTTTGAGCAATATGTAAACAGGTTACCTGACAAAACAGAGGTTGTGCGAAGATAGAGCTCAGCTCTTCAAACTGAACCTGGTGGGAAAGACAGCTGTGAAGGCTGGCTTAGCGAATACACGCGGAGGCTCTGAAGAATGAAACCAGAATGATCTGGCCCATGGACCAGATCCAGCCCACTGGGTGTATTTGTAAATAAAGTTTTATTAGAAACTAGCCATGCCCATTCATTTACGTAGGTCTGTGGGTCCTTCCAGGTTACAACAGCAGACTTGACTGGTTGCATCAGACCTTCCAGCCTGCAAAGTGTAAAATATTTACTATCAGAGGCTTTACAGGAAAAAAAATGGCCCGTCTCTGATTTAGAGAACAGTGCCATGTCTGGATCGTGTTGTTATTTCCCAAGTATTAGCATACTCAAGTTCCTGTTCCGGTTCGAACTAGTTCACTTAACAGGGAGGGTTTTTTTTTTTTTTTTTTAATTGCAATCTTTTATTCAAGTTCATCTTATAAACTTGAAAAAGTTCAACGGTTTGGTTCTGGGATCAAACGAATACAGCTTCTCCACTTTGGGGGCACACAACTTGCCCGTAGTTCTTGAACAGAACATTTTTACCAACTTGGAACAAAGCAGGTGACATGGAATGCTTTTTGCTCAGGAAGATGTCTTTTATTCAAGCTTAAACATACGCTGCTCCTTCCAGCAGTAAGATCCGAGGAGTTTGTCTATACTCCTCTGACTTAGCTAATCCTGTTTTCTACCAAAGTTCAGATATCATTTGTTGGCACCTAGGTTTTCCATTCAATAGAAGTATGCCTTCTCCCAATTTCTTTCATAGATAGATACCTCTTAAAAACTAAACATCTGAAAACAAACACATTGTTCCCTAAATGCTAATATATTCAAAAGTCTGTCTTTTGAAGCTAAAAGGCAATTTGCTGTAGCTTTGCAGTGACTTCCGAACTGGGAATCCAGCTTTCCAGCTCTTTGTGCAGATGTTTGATACCTATTTAAACTTTCATCTTGTCTCTTAAAAACTCTACCATGGAAATTTTCACACATAGGCAAAAACAAAGAGAAGAGTATATGTAATAATCCCCCATGTCCCCAGGAGCCAGCCTCAACAAGTATCAATATTCTGCCCGTTTTTTCCCCACTTACCCTTCTTCCCAACTTTGTGCTTGTTTATTATTTGTTGCAGTATCTGAAGGCAGACCTCCCACATCAAATCATTTCACCCATAAATACTTGTTTCTGTTAGATAAGGCCTTTCTCCTTTGAACAAAACTGTGATGCCACCATCACATCTGACAAAAATTAGTAATCATTCTTAATATCATCTACTACTACCCAGTCCAAGATCAATTTTCTCCAACAGTCTCAGTAATGTCTTGTTCAAGCTGGTTTGTTCAACTAAGAGCCCAAGTATGACCACACATTGCGTTTGTTGATGAGTCACTTAGGTCTCTTTTTATCCACAATAGATTGCACTCGGTTTGTTTTGATTTTTTTTCCACCTACCACTGGCATACACTTAAATTCTAATGGGCAACAAATCTTACCAAGAGTCGTACCTCTTGAGGCTGCACATGCTGGAAGCAAATTCATAGGCTCCTTAGGCACAAACTCACACAGCTCCACTTTCCAGTGCAATCCTCCGCCGGACCAATATGCCAGGCCACCCCACACACTTTCTGCTCTCGAGAGAAGGAATTTAGCAAGCTAACTCCCTAAAATTAAATCTTTTCTGTGCTGCGATGGCCTGAAGACTCTGAATGATTTTTAAAAAACAAGGCATCCATTCATTAAGGCTTTTTTTTAAGTTAGCCAAATTTAATCAAGAATCACAAAGTAAATCAGACAAGCCTTGTAATCCATTATTGTTACAAGTAACAACATTAATTAAACACCTAGCTCATGCAGGACATTGGGTTATAAAAAGGATGACCTGTGTCCCTGCCCAAAGCGACGGATAGCCTAAATGAAGCAGTTACCACGTCGCTCAGACAAAACACCCAAGGAAGACGACAGACACAAAACCACTCAAACTGACAGCCATGCCCCTGCCATTAGGTTAAGAATATTTGTGAGGTTGATCTGGGTGGCAGAAAAAAAAAGAACAAGAGTCAAAAGGAACAGAATATGACTGCTAGTTCTACCGTTATGAGCTGTGGCACCACTGGATTAGTTACTTAACTTCTCTGATTCTCAGTTTTATCATTTGTAAAATTGCCATAATCTCAGCTACCTCCGAGAGCAGGAGCTATAAACACTGAATCAGAAAATACTCCATGAAAGCCCGGCACTAGTAATGATGATGAAAATAATAATAATGAATTCATTGACTATAAAACCCTGTTACATCAGACACTGAGCTAAAATGTTTTATGTGTACTATCTCATCTAATCCTATCAGTCAGAGGAGGCATCTCTTACTCGTCCATTATTTTCCAGATGAAGAAATTAAATGGATCGAGTGAGTATTCAACCTGCTTGCCCAATAGGACACAACTAAAGGCAAGAAGTAGCTCACAGGACCTCAGGGTCCTTGCTGTCTGTCAATCATGGTGTGATAATGCCTCCCAAAGCCAGCGCCGTAAGGTGTAAGGGTGGGACCCGGGGGTTTGCGGGGGGAAACAGGCCAGCCTACTAGGGCTTTAAATCAATTGCATTATAAAGTCATAAAGCACAGCACCTCGCAGCTCCCACCCCTCAATAGGAAGCCCCACGAGACTCCCCAAGTTGAAATACACAAGGCATGGATATATTCAGAGCCATAATGGCAGTTTCCTTCCACGTTGGGGCAAGTCTTCCGCAGTCGGCTTCAGAACATTTAGGACCTCCTCTATTATAAGGCTCAAATACCCAATACTTGTTCAAACAAGGTCAAAGTAAAAATCCTAATTATTTTTTCCCATAGTCTCTTACTTCCTTTTAGTACATATATACAAAAAAGGCTGAAGGAAGCGAGCCGCCAAGAAAGAGGTCCAACTGCCTGCAGCCACCATGCTTTGAGAATCCCGACCAAACCAAGTGGTAAAGGCACCTGGGGAAGAACAGAGGTTCCGTCCGACAGTCCCGTGAGGTCTCCTGTGTGTGAAGCCCTCCTAGATTGTCTCACCTTCCCAGAGTTCAACTAGAACACATGAAGCTTCTGCATCACCCAGTCAACCCAAAAAACTGTCAGCAATAATAAAATACTGTTGGTTTAAGCCATTAAGTTTTGGGGTGATTTGTTAGATGACTAAAACAGCCAGCAATCGGCTCTTCCAGCCATGCCAAATATCAAATCCATCCATAAACGGGGACTGAACAGAAGCTCACTGATGTTTCCCAGCGGAAATGCTACATTCTTTCCATTCATGGACACCCACTGGCTGAAAACACTCCTCTCTGTGAACCTGGGGTCTACAGTGCGCCTGGCTCAAAGGGGTTAAATAAATATGAATAGTGATCACATGGATACCAATGACAATGGCAGCTACTGTTTCCTGAGTGTTTATATAAAAGGCTTCACGCTAAACCTTCTACTCATTTAACCTTCACAAAAGCCTTTGAGATGGAACACTATTATGCGCATTGTACAGATGAGGCCACTGAGGCCCTGAGTGGTGCAGTGACTCGGCCAAGATCACACAGCCAGTAAAGAGTGACACAGGACCTCCTTCATCCTCTGGCCATGTGATTCCTGAGCCTGTGCTCTTTATTACCCCTTCAAGTGCCATCCTGCTTTAACAATTTGCTTCCTTCTAAAAGAGATGATAATGTCTGTAAAGCATTTAAAACCGGGCCTGACGTGTGGTAAGTTTCCAATAAACACCAACTCTCGCTATTGGGCACCTGTAGACAGGGACGGAAATTAGCAGTAGCTGTTTTGCTGGGTGTACAGGTCTCCTTCACCAGCCAAACATCCCGGGGTTTGGTGGGTTTGTTTACAAGTCAGCTCTCCTCCTGGGCTGTGAATCCCCCTGGGCGCTGCCCAGGGTTCTGGTTCTTCTCCGTAGGTCTAAGGTGCTGCACGTGGCCTGGCCCAGAGTAAGTAGGTGCTCAAGAAATGTTTGTGGACCGGAAAGGAAATGCTTCATTTACCACAAATGGGGACTTGCTTTTACAGGATGACTCTCCCCCAGCCCTCAGTCCTTAAAGTGATTCCAAAGAGAAGGAGACGGCAGGAAGGGCCAAGTTTAGGAGACCCGCCCGAGGAAGGCCGGCGCCAAAGGGCTCCTTGGGAGAAGTGACGGAGCCGGCTTGGGGCCAGTCCACGTGAGGAGTCCGTGCAAGTCCGTGGCCGCTCACACGGACGGAGGGGCTCCGAAACTCCGCGGCACTGGGAAAAGTCCCAGGGAAAAAGCGGAGACCCAGGGTGGAAGGTGGCCGCGCCTCCTCCCACCGGGACTTGGGGACGAACCCCCCGCCCTCCACGCCTGCGGCCGCGGAAGAGCGGGCAGAGAAAGTGACCGGAAGTCAGGAGTTTCCCCACACCGACCAAAGTCCTCCCCCAGGAGGGGAGGGCTCCCCGTCCTCGCCCCGCCCAGTGAGGAGGGGCCGCCACAAGTGCGTCCAGGAAGTTGGGGGTCCTGCGGTTCTGTCCCAACAGGGAGGGGCTGGCCTATAGCTCTCCCCCGGCGTTCCCTGCACCCCGAATCCCGTGAGAGGCTCCCCGGGAGGGGCGGGGCGCCCCGACTGTTACTTACAATCATCTAAGTCATGGTGCAAGTCCACAAAGTACAGAGGGCTCTCTGAAAACCAGAGACACACAAGAGTTACACTTAAGGAGAGGGGCCGCAGCAGGCGGGCTCAGGGGCGGGCGGGGGTCCCCGGGCCTCCGGGGGTGGTCCCAGTTTGGGGGGAGGGGGCCGTCCTTGCGCCCAGGGAGCCAACCCCACTCACCCGCCATCTTGGGATGGGCCAGGAGGCGGGGTCCGCGCGGGAGGCGGGGACTGGCGGGCGAGGGGCGGGGCCTAGGGCTCCGGGCCCCGCCCTCGGGGCCGGCTCCACCCCGCGAGCCTCGCGGCGCCGGCCGGCCCCGCCCTCGCGGCGAAGGTGGCTGCCGAGGTGGGCGGGGAGGTCAGGTGACCCGGCAAGGCGTCCCAAGATGGCGGCGGCAGCGGCGCCCGGGAGGCCGAGGCACCGTCCGGGCTGCTGAGGCGGGCCCCGCGCGCCTGGCGGCGGACGGGACGGGCCGAGGGCTGGCGAGCGGACGGACGCCGCCCCTGCGCGCCCCGCGGCCGGGGCTGAGCCGTGCGGCGGCGGCGGCGGCGGCGCCGGGGGATGCTCGTGCTGGGCCCGGCCTCTCCCTCTTCAACTTAGGGCGGCGGCGGGCCCGCGCCCCTGGCTCCCGGGCCATGGCGCTGAGGGAGCTCAAAGTGTGTCTGCTGGGGGTGAGTGGCGGCGGGCCGGCCGGGAGGGCCGCGGGGGGCCGGGCAGGCCGGGGGCCCAACCGTGCCCAAGTCCCCTCCGCCCCTTCCCCCAGTCTCCGTGCGGGACTTGCCCCGGGACCCTCCCTCCGGCCCCCGGGCCACCCTTGCCCGCCCTGCCACCGGCTCCTGAGGGTCGTGCTGGCCGGAGGGCCCCCCTCCCTGTTCCTCCCTGGAGCCCAAGGACTCCTCCCGTCCCCCGGGGGGAAAGAGCCGTCCCTGCCTCTCCGTTGCATCCAGGTTGAGCGGCTCCCAGATAGTTTCCTACTACGGTATTGGTTCGAAGTTGGCCGAGTCTTCCAGAGTAAAACCAGGAGCAGGTCTTCAGGTTTTACAAGCAGCGCCCCTCTCCTTTCTCGTTTGTTTGGAGTTGCTGAGCTTGTGGGATCCCTCCGCCCCCGCACCTTCTTTGCGAGTTCCTCTCCTGGGGGAAAGTTCACATCGCAGAACTCCAAAAACGAGTTGGAAGCTTCAGCTTCCGGCCTTGTCAGGGCAACTTTGTCTCTTCCAGTCCCGCTTTGTGAGGTTGATGCTCTCCTGCCTGCGTTGCTGCTTTAAAGACTGAAAGGGCCTCCAATCACAGTGTTCCCGGTTCCCGAGTAGGGTGGGGCTGTGATTTATCAGCGATTACTCAGAAGTAATTCAAGAGTTCATGGCTTACGCTAAATACGAGAGTTTGTCACTTTTCACCCTAAGCGGAAACTTTGGGTTTTTCAAAAGGTTCTGATGCCTCCTAAAAAGTGCAGAACTCCTCTCCTGCAGGGGTTTTGAAGCATTTTGAACACTCATTACTCCCACTGAATGTCTATGAAAACCTTCTTTGTTTCCCTTAACTTCTAAAAGTTAACACATATGATGATTTTTTGAAATTCTGAACTTCCAGCACAAGGTAGTTTTCGCTGTCTGTGAGCAAGTTCATTTATTTGTGTTCACCCACCCCCTTCTCTTTCAGGACACAGGTGTAGGCAAATCGAGCATTGTGTGGCGGTTCGTGGAAGACAGTTTTGATCCAAACATCAACCCAACGATAGGGTAAGAGATTAAGTTTATTGAATATGTATCTAAAGGTGTATTAGAAATCCTTCCCAATTGAAAAGTGTGTTACGGGAGGGGGAGTGGGTGTGCGTTCACGGGTGACAGTTTCCATCATCTCTGGAAAGACTTGAAAGTACCGTGAGGATTGGTGTGTTTGAGGAAAGTTATCTTTTGATTTGTGAGGTGACGACTCCAAAAGAAAAATAAAAGTTAAAGTTTTACTTGGCAGAATATACTTCAGTCTATAAGTAGGAACAGCAATTAGATTTTGAAATAAAACAGAAGAGGTCCTGATAATACTCTTTCAGGGACATCAACTAAAAGACATTTAGATGGTTTTAGTTCTTTTCCTGAAAAGGAGGAGGCATCTGTCAGACTGGGCGGGCTGGCACATGGGTAAGTGGACGTGCCCAGGACAGGGCTGCTGGCCGCGTCATCACTGCTACCTGTCTGAACCCTTGTCACACATCCCTGAACTAGTAAGAATACTAAATTAATAAATTAATGTTGAAATGGCAGCTTGTTCCTGGCATCTGGTTTTTTGTGTAAGTGAAATTGACTGGCTATAGGTTTTTGACGGTGAGAAAACCTTTCAGAGTAACTAAGTATTGCAATATTAAGGCTTTTGCTGTGAGAAGTGGTGTTTTATGGGTTTTAATACTATGTTAGGCTTATAAAATTAAATAGCTGCTAGGCTACTTTTATGGCAAACCCCCAATCAAATGGTTTCTTCCATTTAAAGAAAAATTCAATTCTGGCTCATACAGAAGTACTGTACAACATACACAGTCACATCCACGGGCATGGAGATGAAACCACCACTAACTTTCTGAAATTAAAATGCCTTCTGTATCCTTCAAGAAACAACTGGGTAGGCGCACATGTTTAGAACGTGACCTCATCCGCCTTAGGGCCTGCCTGTCGCTACCTGCCTGGGAAAGGGAAGTGACAGGAAGTGAAAGCAAGTAGTGCCGGTGACTCAGTGAGCGACACATTTCACACCAGGTCAGAGTTGCAAACCCGGCTCTGGAATATCCAGACACCACCTGGGTGAAGAGTGCTCTCTCAGATAAGAACAGGGAGGGGGAAGCCTCCAGTAGTGGGGATGAGGCCAGCAGCCCTGTCCTGGGCATCCACGTACCCGTGTGCCAGCCCCCCCAGTCTGACAGACACGGGGGTTCCCCACCTTGACTCACTCTCCTCACCAGGTGGTCTTGGCTCACATTTCACAGGAAAGTGGAAGGTGAGGTTTTCCCTTCGTTTCTTTCCACTTTTCCTCTTTTCTTTTTTCTCAGCCTCAGCAGGTGTCTTCTTCCTTTTGTGACCACCTCCCCTCACACCTGAGCTCTGGAGCCTTCCCTTTACCACTTCTCCCTTTCTTCGTCCCGCACCCTGCCTCCTTGTGGCCTGCAGACATGTCCCTAGGTCACCTGCTCTACTAAGCCCATACCATTTCCCAAGCCTGCCCTGCTGGTGGCGGGAACCCTTGGAAGAGAACTAACTACTTCCTCAACTGCTGCTTACTCTTCTACCCACCGTTGCCTCCCTTCCACCCCCACCATTCCACTGAAACCACCTTCTCTGCCTACTGGTTGGTTTCCATTGAATTGCCAAAAACAAGGCTTTTTTTTTTCCTGTATTCATTGAGTACTTCTATGTGCCAGGTGCTGGACTGAGTGCTGGTGATTTCAACCAGGGGGCAGCAAACTGGACCTTTGGTCCACCTCCTGTTTTTATAAATAAAACTTTATTGAATCCCAGTCACACTTATTCACATATTGTCTCTGTTGCTCTCTGGCTTCAATGGTAGAGTTGAATAGTTGTGACTAAGGTCCTGTAGCCCAGAAGGTTGAAAATGTATATGCTATTTGGCCCTTCTCAGAAACAGTTTGCCAACCCCTAATGTAGATAGACTCAGTTTTTGCCCTCGCGGACTTTCCCTACAAGGAGGAAAGAGATAGTTTCTAAAACTAACATGTAGGAAATGGTTTATTTGACCTTTATCTGTGTTACAAAAGAGAAACGTGGGAGTGCTCTGAAAGCATAATATGTAATGGGAGCTTGGCCAAATGTAAAGGAATGGCTGATTCTTGAGGGAAACAGCAGAGATGTAAGGCACTTAGAAGCCCCAACGCTGAAATATTGGAAGACGAGTAGATTATGCAGTCTTTAATTTCAGCTGTGTTGGAGGATGCATGGTAGTACCTCATTCTGGTTTTCATTCCCACTTCCCGAAGGTGGAAGGAGGGTATATGTGCAGAGGGAGGCAGGAGGGACAGAAGAGCCAAATTCCCATTCTCCAAAGAAAGCTCCAATGTAAGTCCAGGTCTGATGGCTCTTAGGGCCCATGCCTCCCCTCGCCCTGCCCCATATGACGTATTGAACCGTTAGGGAAGACCGTGAGTATGGGAGGAGTGAGGGATTTAGGACAGGAAGAGGGATGGATACCAAGTTCTACAGGGGATGAGGTCCAGCTCATGGGATGGAAATACGGACCTGGCCCCAAGGGGAAGCCTGGAGAAGTTGACTTGAGACTACGTTGCACAGGTGAGTTGAGCTGTGGGAGGGCTGAGAGCACTCGTAAGGAGCAGGCCACGGCTGGGGAAGACCCGGGGGGGTGGGGGGGGCGCGGAGAAGACAGCGAGGGAGCGGGATCCCGGAGGAAGAGGGCTAGGGAAGACCAGGGCTGCACTCCAACACGCCGTCTGGGAAGTGGTGTTGGAGCCTTCCCGGAACTCCAGGGCCTGGCCACCCCCGTGACGTGCCCTGTCCCCCCCGCCTCCTAGTTCCCGCTGCCCCCATGCTGCCCCCTCCCCCCAACACCAACAACTAGTTAACTTCCAAACTTCAAAACCTTTCTTCTTACACTTTTTATTACGGTATCTTTTGAAGAGCAGAGATGTTTAATTTTGATCAAGTTCAATTTATCAATCATTTTAATAGTTCATGTTTTTTGCCTCTTATACACCCATCCGAAATCATAATGCTTGTCTCCTGTGCTTTTGTTTAGAATTCTTATACCTTTACGATTTAAATTTTAGTTTATGACCTCATTCTCCTAGCTTCAGTTTACTGTGCGAAGGAAGTCAATGATCAGCTTTTCCCGTGTGTCAATCTAGGCACTATAGCAACGTTTGTTAATGTGGAATTCTGCATTTATTTAATTAAATTACTTTGGCACCTTTGTCAAAAATTAATATGTGTGTGTGGGTTTCTTTCTGTTGCATTGATCCATTTGCGGGTCCTTGTGCTGGTACAGTACACGGTCCTGATTGCTGTAGATGTGTAGACATCTTGAAATCTACAAATCCTGAAATCAGGCAGGGGATGCCCTCCTGTTGTATTCGTATTTGCAAAAATCTGTTTGACTCCTCTCAGTCCTTTATATTTCTGTTTCAACTTTAGAATCATAATGCCCGATTTGTTGGGGGGGGGGAACACCTGAAATTTTGACTGGGAATGTAGCTAATCTACTGATGAATTTGGAGACAATCGGCATCTTAACAATATTGCGTCGTCTTATCTGTAAATGTGGCATACTTCGGCACTGACTTAGTTCTGATTTCTGTCAACGAAGGTTTTTCATTGTCACTGTGCAGGCCTTGCACGTATTTTGTTAAATTTATTCCAAAGTAGTTTTGTGTTTCTTTACAATTAGCAGGTAGAATTTTTTAATTTCAGTTTTTTTAATCTTTATTTATTTTGAGAGAGAGAGAGAGAGACAGAGAGAGGGCACACGAGCAGGGGGAGAGGCAGAGAGAGAGAGAGAGAGAGAGAGAGAGAGAGACTCCCAAGCAGACCCCATGCTTAGCACGGAGCCAGATGTGGGGCTCTGTCTCATGACCGTGAGATCATGACCTGAGCTGAACCCAAGAGTCAGGTGCTTAACCAACTGAGCCACCCAGGTGCCCCTAATTTCAATTACTTTATTTGTTATTGTTAAATATGATTTATTGTCAAGTTGGCTAACATGCAGTATGTAAAGTGTTCTTGGTTTTGGCGGTAGATTCCAATAATTTCAATTTTTTTTAATATTTATTTTTGAGAGGGGCGCCTGGGTGGCTTAGTCGGTTATGCATCCGACTTTCACTTAGGTCATGATCTCACGGTTTGTGAGTTCGAGCCCCATGTGGGGCTCTCTACTGGCTGCCCCTCCCCCTCTTTCTCTTGTTTTGACATCAGGGTCTCATAAAGTAAGTTGGGAAATGTTTTCTCCTTTTCTACTTTTTTGAAAGGATTTATGTAGAATTGGTGTTATTTCTTCCTTAAAGGTTTGGCATGCTTCACAGATGAAGTCATCTGAGCAAGTTTTGTCAGAAAAATTAACTACAGGGGCGCCTGGGTGGTTCAGTCAGTTAAGTGTCTAACTCAGTCTGCTCAGGTCATGATCTCACAGTTCCTGAGTTGGAGCCCCGCATTGGGCTCTGTGCTGACAGTGGGGAGTCTGCTTGGGATTCTCCCTCCCTCTCTCTGCTCCTTCCCAGCCCTCACTCTCTCTCCCTCTAAAGAAATAAATAAACCTTTTTTAATTATTAAAAATTTTAATGTCATTAAAATTTTTAAATATAAAATTTTTAAATATAGGTGTCTTCATTTCTTCCCAAGTAAGCTTTTGTGGCTTATGTCTTTCAATGAATTTGTCTGTTGTATCTGTTTTTTTTTTAATTTATTGACATCAGATCCATTAAAAATTTTTTATTATCCTTTTAATATCTTTAGAAGCTGTGCAGTTTATTAATTTTAATCTTTTCAAAGAACCAGTTTATTTCATTAATGTTTCTCTATTTTTTGTTTCATTGATTTTTGCTTTTATCTTTTTTTCCTCCCCTCATTTGCTTATTTTGGCTAATTCTTTTTTTTTAAGTTTTTGAACCTGGAGGTTTAGAATGCTGATTTTTAGGACCTTTCTTTTTCTTATATGAACATTTAGAACTATAAATTTCCCTGTAAGAACTGGTTTAAGTGAATCCCACAGATTTTGATACACTGTAATTTCA